ACTTTGCTCTTCCCTCAGTTGATGGAGAAGCAGTCCTTTTCTGTGCTAAGCCTTGTGGGAGAATGAATTCAATGAAGATCCTAACCAGAATTTTAACAAGATTTTGACATTACCTTTATTACACACCTAGAACTAATATGACATGCTGCTTAAAAAAAAAAAACAGATTTTTACCTTTTTTTAAACTACACAATTATTTACATTCAAAAAACGTATTAAGTCTTTGTCAGTTAAGTGAGAAGTCAAGTGATTCAGATCCCAGGACAAAACGGAGGCCTTTCCATGGAAATGCTAAGGCCTGTCTTTGTTTTTTATAAATTGCTATCGTAAACATTGAAAACATCTTCAGAAATTTCCCAATGGATTTCCTTTCCTTTTTTTTTTTTGCATTTGGCATATTAAAATCAGATTATGCTTTCTAACTAGAGATGGAACAGCAACAAAATCAAAACGCGTGTGTCTTGGAATTCCATCGGGGTTTGTTTACACGGTGTCCTGACTCAAGGTTACGGTGAGAAGCACAGCCATCCTCAGAGCAGGCTTAAATAAGCAACCACAGATCCTCCCACACTGCCTTGCGTGCCTCTTGCATATTTGTGGGGGTGGGGGACCGTAAGGCATGAGAAAGGTGGCTTGCACTTCTCCACATTCAAGAATGATTTTGCACATTCAAAACATTGAAAAAAAAAAGTGCCATGTTTGGAAGTTTCCAATAACGGTTTGAGGACAGAAAGCATCGCAACTTGTGTGTTACATCTAGGAGTACAAGAGATGGGGGCTATTTCCAAAAGCCCAAAGAAAAGGAGTTTAACAGTGTGTTAAAGAAGCATGCTGTTGTACTTAGGTGTGTGCTCCGAGCTGCTAGGGTCACATCCTGCCACAACTAACAGCTTGACAGAGCATTGCTGGTCCCTGATGTATAAATAAACACGTTAATGCTGCAACTTGCTCAGAGTCTTAAAAAGCTTGTTTTGAAGTTTGCAACCAGACATGCAAGTGCATTTGTCCTTTTTTTTTTTTTTTTGGAACAACAGAAATTTACATTAGCTTTGTGGAATAGGACCTAAGAACAGCTGACATCCATTCTCCCAATTAAGAAACATTTCTCTGAGTGAAGAGGTGCAATCCTCACCAGGAAGGCATGCCTCTCCACCCTGCTCGCCCAGCGCTTCCTTTTTCACTCTGACTAGGCTAGTTCACTTTCTGCCAGGATATGTCAGAGATTATTGGCAATCCTCCAAGAAATTTATTCAAAACGTGACTTGCGCTTGGCTGGAGATACTTGCTAAGAAAATTTTTTTTTATTATTATTTTGCTCTTAATTTTATGGAAACAAGAGAATGCTCTTAAGCCAGGGGCTAACTGCTCAAAAGACATCTGCCATTGAGGTAAACAAGTAAATGCTGTGGTTACCACACCAAACTCCTCTGGCCTGTTGGGAGGTTCTCACCCTGAATTTCAACCACTTCCCTAGGGACTCAACTTCAACGCAGGCACAACAGTCCAAAGTTGAACTTGCAGCCCAATCCAGCTTCCCTAGTCTAATCCTTCTTGCTTCTTCTTTTCCATGCCTTCTTTCTTTTAAATCTGATTCTTTTTCATGATTTCTCCAGATTCATTTTTTTTCCAAAACATGTTTCCTAAGTTATAACTCCAAAGATCTTAACAGAGAACCTTAGTTAAGCTTAGTTACTTTTGGTGATATAAGCATTTGAGCCCATTATGTATGCATATATTGGTTACATCATCTATAAAGTTCAGTTAATGACATCACAGTTGAGGCACTTTGGATGAACTAGGCTGCATAAGGATATGAAAACTATTAATCTTTCAATTGTTAGTGTTCACTAACAAATGACAAAAGCTTTCAGTTCTGTACATATGCCCACCATCTTTTCACATGCTCTGTACTCTAAATTTTCAAGTTATTTTTTAACCATAGACATTGATTTGAGGTTAACTGGCATGTTAACTCTGCGCTTGTTGTTCTTGCGATAATAAAAAAAAAATAGAAATAATCCAAGCTCAGGGGGTATTCTGTATAACAAGGTCAGGGTCAGGGTCTGGCCAGAGAGCCTTTCTGATGCTTCCCCAATTGTGTTCCAGCACAGACAGAAGGCTGCAGCTTTGCCCTGTCTTACACACAATAAGCGCTCAACAGTCACTAAAGGCAATGAATGAACGAATGTCAATTGAAAGGACACTGACAGAGAGGAGTCAGTGGTGGAAAACATCAACAGATGAATAACAAGTTGAGAAAGCCTTTAAGTAGCTGGTAAAATTTTGAGCTTGTATAAGCCTGATTTTCAAAGACTTCCATCTCGTTCTTTGCTCTGTTTAAAATTACAGTCCATTCAAGAAATATAGACAATATAGACATCTGTCTATTTCCAGTTAGTATGAGTGAGCCTGCCCGAGCACCAATCATCCCCACATTTTAATTCCAGTTGGAAAACCCAATTCTGTCCCCTTAAAACCAATGACAAAACATTGAAATGGAAATCCCTCCAATTCTGCCTTGTGCTGATGCACAAAAGTGAGGAAGAGAGTTTGAAGATTAAAAAATTGATTTTTATTATTGCTGTGGGCTATCAGATTCAGCACCAAGTCAAAAACAAACCAAAAAGCCCACAATTAAAAATCACCTCCATCCCCAAATTTTACATTCTTAAATGCAAAGCAGTGTGGTGAATTAGGCTTAGTGGTGTCTTGGCCGTGAGCACTTCCAAGCAGGTTTATGAATGGAAACATGCAAGGGCTACGCAAGCCAACTGGGTAGCCCCATCCCTTCTCCCTGGGTTATTTATGGAAAGCTTATGGCCAGTGGAAAAGATCTAGTCTATTTTTGCAAGCCAGTCATGACCTGACCGAGGAACTCACTTCCTCTCTCTGGGAAGGTCATCCTTGCCACCTGAGCTGTAAGAAGGAGCAGGGAAGAAAGGAACCTGCTGGCCAAGTCAGCCAACCTGTGCCAGTCTGCAAAGTTAACCCACCAGCGGAACAGCACTCAAGTCAAACACCCTGATTTCCCAGGCGACATGACCATGGGGCTCCCTGACTTACCATGTAGCTCATGACTAACAAGTAAAAATAAAATGCATTACATAATGTGCTTCAACATTCAACTGCCAAAGTAGGTTGTATGGAGACAATGGAATGAATTCTTATTTATAATTTGCCCTACATTTCAAACAGCTGAACATCATCAAGTAAAACTAAATTCCGAAATATGCAGCAAAAAAAAAAAAGAGGAAGAGTATGGAAAATATTGTGGAAAGCATTTTATTCCGGATGCAACCTCCCCTTATATAAGTAATAAACGTGCATGCTCACGTGCAGACTCATGGGTCTGAACCAGAATCCAGCAGAATTTAGCCAAGAACCCATGTCACCCGACAAGTAGCTCTGCGTCTCCCACAGGAATAATAAGGGACTTACATGCAAACACAAATAAAGCCAAACCTCGGCGTTCTCACCAGAATGGCTTTGTGTCAATGAGACATGGTGCCTATAAGAATCTTAGATGCAATGGGTAAAGAGGAAGAGCAGGAAGAAACAGGCAAAAGGAACCCAACAGCAAAGAGCACGGAAATCTTCCTGAGGAAAACTGCGTGGTCTTCCCAGGCTCACGCCTCATCATCGCTTGAAAATAACATGGGTCTACTTCTATCCTCAAGTGGCCTCTGCTTCAGGACAAAGGCACGGGACAGGAGAGGATTTCGTGTGTGGACCCTGAAGATTTCCAATAAGCATTTACCACGGCCAATCCAGAGCCTTGTACTCACTCTCCAACAGCATCCTTGTGAGAAGTCTTCCTCTCGGAAGTTCCTTCTGAAAACTACAATAGACCCTGCAACCTGCTCCTCTTGCTTCTAAACCAGTATTCCCTGAAGCTCTGAATAGCCAACAGGAACATGCAAATAGGTTTGCACGTGGCAACATCCTCATTTCCACAGCTGTCCTTGGATGCACAGACTGAAGGATGTTCCAGCTAAGGACCAGCCTCTGTGGGTTGGCACAAATTGTCCGCCTGGATAACCCACCGGGAATTTCCTTGCAGCTTGCAAATAATGAGACGCAGACCTTAACTGTGCAAAGTGCATTTATGATCCTATGCAGAGGTTCTGAGAAAACACATCTATCAACTTCACTTCTGCGTGCAAATTAACACACGCAAGATACCCAGACGCCAAGATCCTGGTTCCTCCAGGGAGTCATGCTAAACTTTCCTGTTTACACAGGAGACGGTGATCAAACGCATAAACGAAACCAACAGTCTTTTCAGGGTTGGCAGCCTAGCGGTGCTAGGGGCTTGATCCACACTACTCCACCAAGTCAAGACTCTCCATCCAGTGACCTGTCTAGCTCTTAACCAAAACAACTTTGATCCGTATTTAAACACATATATAAATAAGCACCCTCAGTGGTTTAGGGTTGTCAACTTGGTCACAGATCAGTATCTCTAAGAAAGAGACGTCTAAGTCTGCTCATCAGGAAGGAACCGGAGGCATGTTCACTAATTTTTCAAGGGTTTGAGATAACAGCCCATCATTTCCGTAGTCTGAATCCAAATGAGACTGTCGCACTTAATTCGGTGAACACAATCTTATTTAACCCAGCACTGCCAGTTACGCACCGAGGAATAAGCTCCTGACTTTCATAATACAACCGCCTGGCCTGTTCCTGAATACTGCACGCTTATTTTTAAGCAAGGGCTGGCTGGTAGCCTTCTAGAACAGCACACCCTCTCTCCTTCACCCCTCCCCACCCCCGGGGCTGCATTAGGAACCACAGGCACATTAGCAAATTGGCTCCTGCTCAGAGCAGGAAAGCCAGATGCTGTGCATGACCCAACTACTTCCGGTCCTGCCAAAGCCTTAAAACCAACACCTTCTTCCCTTCTAGAGGGTGGAACCTGCAGCCCCACTGGGCAGTGGAAGGAGAAGAGCTTTCTCCTACTGCTCTCCCCCAAGCCCAAGGCGAGAAAACTATTCAGGGCATTGCTTGCAAAGGCACGTTTATTCCAATGGCAATTTAAATAAATAAAGAGAAAAAAAAAAAGACAATGAAAATTCAGCAAGAAAATCAGGGCTGGGTTTGTGAAATACAGGTAAGTAAACAGGAATCTGGGATCTACTCAAAACACTTGTTCCTTACCAAAAGTTTAACCACAGTCCCTAGGATAGAATGATTCACAGTTGTGCTGTGCCACTCCCTTCAGAAAACACTGTTTGAGAAAGGACTTGAGAACTTCCCTTGCTCCGGTTCAAGTGTCCGGGACGCAGAAAGCTGCAAAATTCAAAACTACCACAAAAGAGAATGCCGCACCTACCAACAGGCTTGGATAAATGATGAAAAAAACAATCATTGTATATATTACTCTTTAAATAACATTAGCGAGAGTTCAAGTAATTCACGTGTGTTCACATTCCATGCATTTTCTAGTCAGCTAAGTCCTGGGTTTATGTCTTCGTGCTGCTTTCCTACAAAGCTCCATTCTTTTGACAAATAATAATAATAATAAAAGATAAATTAAAAAGCTGGAATGGAAGTCCGCGGGGAATTTATCTAGTGATACTCTTTACTGCATTCCTGACCTCAGAAGGGGGTCCTCTTGATTAAGCCTGCCGTCGAGGGACACTGGAAAAGCGAGCTGTGAGGGGGTGCTGATGTGGGATTCCGCTTGCTTGCTGAATCTGAGATTCACCTGACTTTTTCTCATGGACAAGAACCAGAGCGCCTCTTCCCCCCTGCCCCGTCCCCCTTCTCACTCTTCCAAAGTCCCGAGTGGGTCCCTTTTCCCTCGGATTCTTAGCACCCTCCTGGAACCAAGGAAGAAAGACAAGGAAACTTGAAAACAAACCGGCAACAGCGACAACAGAAAACGGCCAACACACAGGTAAGCAAACCAGCGGCCTCCCGCAAGGTGAAGGGCTCACTTTTTACTACAGAATTCCGAGTTTTTGAGGAACTTCCTGATGACCAAGCCCAGGCACACCACCAGCAGCAGCATGTAGCCCACGGTGCCCAAGAAGGTGGGCGCAGCTGGCGGCGCCTGGAGGAACTGGCGCAGGCCCTCCTCCACGTAGTACACCTGGTCATAGATGCTGAGGAAGGTGAAGATGTGGAAGAGCTGGTGGCTGTGGCCAATGATGTCAAAGAGGCCCGGCTGGATGCGCTCCGGGATCTTGCTCACGTTGAAGAAGGCAGCCACGACGAGCCAGAAGTAGCGGCGGTAGAAGTGCACGAAGAGCGTGGGATTCTCGCCTCGCAGATCGAAGAGCAAACTCTCAAGCATGATGGGACAGGCCATGCTGAGGGGCATGATGAAGACGAACGTGCGCAGAGCGAACGGGTAGGCGCACCAGTCGGTGCGACTCTTGCAGCAGGCCACGGTGCAGGCCACGGCCAGCACGAAGGCCACGGGCAGCACGAGCGCGCGGTAAGCAGCTATGAGGCCTGTGCAATCCACGTGCCAGCCCAGGCGCTGCTGCACGTACGGGGTCATGACTCTGGCGTCCAACAGGCTCAGGCCGGGCAGCAGGTAGTAGTAGTAGGCGACCGTGCTGCCGAAGCCATAGTAACTGATGGACGCATAGTCCAGGTAGAAGAAGGCGGCGCGCAGGCGCAGCGACAGGCAGCTGAACACGTGCGCCGTACAGCTCATGGCGAAGGTCAACAGCACCCCCGACGCGTAGCACCACAGCGGCAGCAGCCACGGGTGGTGGAAGGGTAAGTCGCGGCCGCTGAGGAAGAAGAGGCGACAGAACTTGCTGAGGAACAGCAGCAGCGGGATGAAGTGGGTCCAGAAGTTGAGCGTTTCGTTGGTCGGCTTCAGCACCGAGGCCAGGCACTCCTGCGCCGTGCACGGGAGACGCCGGTAGCCCGACAGGATGAAGCACTCCACGAAGTCGTCGGGCACCTCGTCCCAGCGCAGCAGCGGCTTGGCCGCCGCCGGCGAGTCCCCTGAGGCGGAGGGGTGAGGATGCCGGCCGGTCCCCGAGGCCGCCACCGCCGCCGCCGCGGCCGTGCCAGGCGGACCCTTTGTGCCCGCAGCCCGGGGCTGCAGGCGCCGCGCCATGGTGCCCGGGGCTTAGCTAGGGCGCGCGCAGGCGACCTCTGGCGCCGAATCCCGAGCGTTCGGCAGCTCCGGCCGGCCGCCGTCGGAGCCTTTGTGCCCGCGCCGGGGGCGTCGCTGCAGGTTCACGACAAGACCTGCGCCTCCGAGGAACCGCTCCTACAGGAGAGAAAAAGGAAATAGCATCAGCAGGCAGGCGCGACGGCCGGCAGGAGCGCGCCGGGCTTGGATCCCCTGGTTCAGCCCTGGTTCGGCCCCGGTTCAGCCCCGGTTCAGCTCCCGGCTCCCGGCTCCCGGCTCCCGGCGCGCGGTGGCCGCGGTGGCGCGGCGGACTGCGGCGGCAGCGGCGCGGCGGTGACTGGGCATCGCGCGGTGCGGGTGCCGCCGCCGCCCCCAGGCAGGAGGCGGAGGATGAGCAAGCCGAGGCGCCCGAGGGAGGGGGAGGGCAGGGCGCTCCGAGGAAGGGCGGGGGCCTCCCCGGCTAGGGTTTCGCGGCCGCCTGGGGGGGTCAGGGGGGAAGAGTTGTCCCTAGTCTCGGGTTCCGTACCATCCCTCCCCCTCCTCCTCCTCGGGCGGCGCTGCAGCCGGAGCCGACCCGTTAATGATTGATGTGGTGAGGAGAAGAAGCCAAAGGCTGGCCGACGACTCGGGCGGCCCGAAAATGAGGGGGTCGGCGCCGGGGTTCGAGACCCGAGAGCCACGCGGACGTTCTAGAGGACACTGGGGTGCCGCGTTCGCAGGGGGTGGGGAGCGGCAGGGGGAGGGGGTGCAGCGCGGGGAGAGGTGCTCGCTCGCACCTCCGCAGGTGGCGGAGGACGGGACGCTGCGGAATAGTGGATGGGAGGGGTTGGAAACGGATCAGGAACCTGCCATTGTCAGATACCTGGGACTGCTGCTCCGTGTCCGCATCTCATCTTTGCGCGCCCGCGTGTGTATGTGTGTGTGCGCGCGCGCGCCTCTGCGTGATGCACCTATAGTCTTCGGGTTTTTTTTTTTTTTTGTCTTTTTGTTTCCACGACCTTAGGTGCGTCACCGTTCTCCCCTGTCCGTCGCCCTTGTCTTGTATAGCAAATGTCCCCAGGCTTGTCCATTCGTCGCTGGCGCTCTCCAGCACTTGGAGCCCCAGCTCACGCATCATTGAGGTCTTTTGGGTTTGGCTCTGGGAATGTTTGGTGTCCCAAGTCCAACCGCTCAGGAATGGGCTACCCCCATCTCGCGTTTTAATGAAAAGAAAATAATTGTTTTTCAAATGATGATGATGAGGCATTTCCCCCGCCAGCTCTCGAAGGATTTGCGGAATTTGTTTTCATTAGGTTTCCCTCAAGCAGAGCTGCTGAGGGAAGACCTCTGGAGGAGGGTGCATTCTAGCACAAACCGAACAGCAGTGGAGACGCGGAAAGCGTCTTGGGAAAGGCTATGGGTGGCTGGAAGCCAGAAGAAAGCAAGACTTGAAGGATGCGAATGGTTGTGCTGCACAGTGGTATGAGCCTTGAAGGCAGAGGTGATGGCCGCCCGGGGCACTGGAGACGAGGGGCTGGTCTGCCCCGGACCCGGAATGTCTCCCAGGCTTCAGCCTGGAACAGGAGGGGCCACAGGAGCCAGTTACGCCACCGACCTGGCGGGATTCCAGTTGACCAATGGCACACCTGAATGCCCATTCCTTACATAGTTGGGGCGCAGACGGCCCCTTCGCCTAACCACGTGTCTTTAGCAGTATAAAACTCCTCAACATGTATCTCAGCTGCCCTTTCCGCCTCCCTCTTCCTTCCCCTCTGTGCAAAGGAGCCCAGGAGCGGGTTTTCCAATAAAGCTTCCGTTACAACTCCGAACAACTTGCTGTTATTATTCCACCAGCGAGCGGGCGCTCAGTGGTCATCATCCAACAAGAGGGGCTTGTCAGAAGTGTGAGCTGCCTCCCAGAGCGGTGTAGGGGACACTTTCCAGAGGCCAGACACCAAGCACCACACAGCTTGAAATGAGGTTTATAGATGAGGAGGCGGCGGCAGCATAGCTCCGAAGAGCATGACCGAATGGCAGAAGTTGGTTCTTTCCGAACTTCCTGTTACTGACTTGGAGGGGCCAACAAGCTGCTTTGCTCAAAGGAAGCCAAATGGGAGAGAAGAGTGGTCTGGTTTGGGAAAAGGCTTTTGATAATCATTTTAAAACCCATTTCATTTCATGTTAAAAAGTGGAAGTCTGCTTTCATCATTAGGACAAATCTTATAAGTAGGTTAAGAAAGTTTTACGTAGTAGAAGTTCAAGGCGGATTTAAGTTATGGATATGAATGATTTATAACTAGAGTATCAGTGTGGCAAAGGTCTAGAATTATTTAAGGATATTGGAGGTAATCTTGTGGCCAGTTCGGTCTTGTCTTTGAAATGCATTTTCCTCTAGGAGCTGACTTCACGAATTCTTACACAATTAGGTCAAAGGTAACTGCAGTCTTGTGCTTTGCTTAAAGATCACACATTTCCAACAGATGGATTTTTGTAATAAGCGTGGTTTGGCTGTAGTTGACTAGTATTCGGTGCTACTGTTTTCTGACTGTCCGCTGCTTGTAGGCTTGTCTGTTTTAATGTGAAGTTTAATTACCTTTTGGATTCAGACTAAGGACCTATGCTTATTTGTAAAAGGGGTTAAAATTAGGCATTTCAAAATCTAGCTCAGGAATAATGAAGTTGAATTGAGGGCAAGCCAGAAAAAAACGTGTTCATATTTCCTGTGTTAACTCCATAAATCACCTGAGCTCTAGCCCCTGAAACATCTTATGGTAATTCCCAAATTTACAAGCCTCTTAGCTGCCTAATCAGCTTACTCCTATAATTAGGAAAATGCAACAGAAAGTTCACTTGAAGCAAAATAATGAACCTGATTATAAATGGACATACCAAAACCCTAGTTAAATAATATTTATCTTTGTAACTAAGTGGGTAACGTTCTTTTTCAAAAATTCAGATTTTATGAAGTGAAAAGAAAATGAGTCCGCATATCCTTCAAGTCTACCAGAAAGCTTCTGACCTCTGCCTTTGTCCTTTCTCATACATTTTCCACCTGCCAAGAGGCCCCCAAACCCAGGGGTGTTTGTGTCGGGCTCTCCTGGTTGTAGCTTGACAGAGCTGTCTGGACGGAGCCTCTGAGCGAGCAGCAGACTGACCTAGCTTGTAAACAACAATGTGGCTTTTATCTGCTTAGTGTGCATTCAGTTTTTATTGGGGTGCAATCCCGTGCAGCTGCGTTTTATAGTTTGTTGATCAACAGTCTTGTCGGTGACTACCATGTTCCCCGGGTGCTGGACTTGACTAAGCAGATAGAAGCCCTGGGCAGGCTGCCATTCCCCGAGGGTGCAGCAGCAGATAAGACATCTTGGAGAGGGCTAGGACTGACGGCGAAGTTCTCGACAGGCGGAGTCACTCAGCATTGACATTCAAAAGCTAGTGCCTACAGAAGCCAGCTGTTTCCACGGGCAGCCACACGTGGCTTTGGTGGGTCTCTGGCTCCTGTGTACAATTGGGTGTTGCAGAGGTCGGGGAGGAGGGTCCTGGCTGCCCAGTGTGGTCATGGGTAGAGGCTGCTGCAGACTGGACAAATGCCTTTACCAGTCTGGTTCGCCCCAGCAGTATTCGTAGGGGCCAACTACAGATGTATGTTTCTCTGGATAATAGTATAATGACATGTGAGTAAGCACTACACAGCAAGTCTGATGTTGTCTGTTAAGGACAGTCGGCTAGCTGTAAAACCTGTGGGAAAACATGCTATATTACTTAACAGTAATATACCTGCTTTTGGAAGAAATTGTTAACAAAATTTTTTTTTCTAGTTTCTGTTTTAGCCCCAAGTGCAGCCAAATAAGAAGTCTGCTATGAACGTAGTGCTTCATTGTTGGCCCACGACTGTGTGTAGGAGAACTCTGTAGGGTTCAGTCCCTCTCCATGCAATGGACAATCTACACAGAGTTCTCCAAACTGAAGACAGCCAAGGTGGGTCTGAGCCAAACTCTCCCAGGTCAGCTGGGTCACTGCCACAGATGAGGGTGTGAGCTCCCTCCTAGTGGGAAAGTGTGTGGCATGCAGATGCAACTGTGGCAACCGCTAGGGAAGAACAGCTGGAAAGCCAGATGTGGGGCAGGAATCTGGAGAGTACGTGTGCAGGGCCAAACTGGTTTGTGGCTATTCCTGCCTGTTATCTGACTTAAGAACAGGGTCTCTCGGAAAAAGGCTGGGGCATGGAGCAGACATTGGGTAGAGCAGCTAACACAAGCACGTGGGACACTCGCATTCCCTAGCAGAGAGGCTGAGGATGAGTTCCAACCCTGCTTTGGATTGCAGTTTTCTGATAATTCAGACCAAAGGAAGCAGCAGGTGGTGCCTTAAGTGCTGGTGTCCTGCCTGGGAGATAGGGATGGAGTTCAGACTTGGATTGGGCTACCCTGGCTTGGGCCTGCTCCAGTGGCTACTGTTTTGGCATCTGCGGAATGAGACAGCCTCTGGGAGACCTGGAAAAGTTCATGTGTTCCCAGGAGAAAGTTCCCGGAGTGAGTACCCAATAGCACTAGTTAAGGTGAAGGGTAAAATAGTGCAACTGCAGTTTAAATAGATCTCATCCTTTGCGATGTCTGGCACTATGGCGCAGTTCCTAAGTAGGATGTGGAGAGCATTTATAATCATATATCGGGGTATGGCACACACTGACTAGAACGCGTGCGATCGGTACTGTGTGTTGGCCTCTGCTCCGTGGTCCACAGCTCGTTTGTCCAGCCTGTTTTCAGCCCCTCTCCCCAGCCCAGAGTGGACTCCCACATCTTGCCTTTCTGTTCCCTGAAAAAAGTGTCTGTGGGTCACTGTTTGTCTACCAACAGTGCCCCAAGCTCTGATGAGACCTGCCCAAACCCCTGGGTATTCAATCCTGTCCACAGCTTCCCTGACCCTGGTGGGCTCCCTTCTGGAATTATTTCCCCCCAGTTCTGTCCTTTTGGTTTCCTGGTCAGAGCCTAAAAGCCTCGTATTTTATGTCACGCTGAATGTAATTCAGCATCTTCCTGCCATACGTTGTCACAGGCCGTTGCTTCCATCTGCTTAACTGGAGAAAGTTATACAGTGAGGCGGATCACTGAATTCCCACTTCCTGGTGTTTGTGGGAGTGGGACAGTTTCCCTTGAAATCTAGTGCTTTGCACATAGTAAGTGCTAAACCTACAGTGCTTAGGAAAGTTGTTGGGTTCTATACACCTTTAAAAGGTTAGAACTTGGAATCCTAGAATGTTAGAGTATGATGCCAGTTGCTCCTTAAAGTCAACTGGTCCACCTCCTATTTATGATCATAGTTTTGGCTCATCAGTTATAATCAACATTCAGGCAATATGATAGTAGTTCTATTTATTATCTCTAATCCTCAGAACACTTCTTTGCAGGGTGTGTACGCTATCCACATTTGCAGGCACCAACACAGGGGCTTAAAGCAGTTGAATAGCTGGGAGGCAGAGCTGGAGTCAAACCTGACTCGCAGTAATCTTGCTTTATTTGGAGCTACAGCCTATGATACTGTCATGTAGCCAGCTTCGACTCCAATAAAGGGACTTAGTAACTCACAGCCTCCCTTCCATTTTCATTGTTATTGGATTTCATTGTTATTGTTCCAGTTTTCCTTGTTATTGGAAAGCTTTTAGATAAGCACATGAGCCCAGCTGATGAGGAAAATGCACCGCTTCATGTTGGCTCAAAATTCAGCCACATCACTGAAAGAAAATCGTCATCCATTGACTCTCGCTTGAAGTTCCCTGAAGAATGAGTCTGGAGGCCAATGTGTATGTGTGGGGTGTGGCAGGTGAATGTCAATGAGGCACATTTTAAAAAGCTTTTCCTGTGACTCACATTGCAGTGTAGAGGATAAAGCCATCACCTGCAGCAGTGAAATCGGCATTCCATACGGGTGCCACTTTGAGTTCTGGATGCT